ATATATATATATATACAATGATAATTTTAAATATTCCATTTAAAAATATAATACATAATTTAAATATACAATCTTATGTATATATTTATATTTCGTGTGTTCATATATACACACATATATTAATATATTATGTATATATTTAAAGAGTTCTTTTCAATATTCCATTTTAAAAATATGTTAAATTTAATTTTGTGTATATTCATATTTTGTGTTTAAAATTCCATGAATTCTTTAAATATATACATAATATATTCATATATATATGTGTGTATATATGAACACACAAAATATAAATATATACATAAGATTGTATATTTAAATCATGTTATATTTTTAAAATGGAATGTTTAAAATTACCTTTGTAAAAATTAAATTATTTCTTAAATATTTAAATGTATAATTTATGTGTAGATATGTTTATATATTTAATAATGTGTGTGTGTATATATTCACACACAAAATATAACTATATAAATACAAAAGTATAGATTTAAAATATATATTATTTTATATAATAAAATAATAAATGTAAATATAACATGAATTAATAAAAAATTTAATTGTATATTTTTATTTTTTTGTGTGTTGGGGCCAGTGGTCTGGGTGTTATTATTATCGGACATCAAGAGAAGAACAGCAACATAAATAGATTAGTCTTTAAAATGAGTTTCAGCAGCTGTTAATCATTGTCTTTGTACGTGTGCATGTGTGTGTTGATCAGGTATCTGTCAGAACTGTGTTGTGTGGATGGAATCGGAGGCGTGGGACGAGCAACTTTCCCCGTGGTAAGAAACACTCTCGTCACACACTTTAAATATTTCTGTCAGAGACATCAGCTTTGAAGTGGAGTTCAGTTGCAGGTCTGCGATGGTGTTTGTGTTATTAGCAGTGTGATGTGTGTGTTTAGGGTGTAAAGCTGCTGTCGTGTCTGTATAATGAAGCTCAGAGTAACTGCAGTAATGAGAATCATCCGGTGCTGCTGTCACTGCTGAAGAGCAGCTGTGAGCCGTACACACGGTGAGAAACTCATCTCCTCCTTTCGCTTTTTATTTATTTATTTATCTATTATTCAACTCCGGAAGGTCACTTAAGAGCAGAGTGGTTTTTGACACACTATATTTTCCGAGTGATTGAGACCATGAAATGGTAGTGAGATACTGTAGTGTCTGACTGGCATTTAAATGCACAATACAGATTCTCTGCTATTATTTACTCGCCTTCATGTTGGAACAAACCCGTATGCTGTTAGTTTTCTTGTGTGATGTGAATGGAGAATCATCATGTATAGAAGATACGTCTGTCAAGTCCCAAAAACAAAATTGATAATCTAATTGATTAATATAATTATTTTTTATTTTAATAATTAATTCATTTTAGCCTCCCTGTAGCTCAAACAGTAGAGCATGTCACTAACAATGCCAAGGTCATGGGTTTGATTCTAGAGAATGCATAATTTGAAAAGAAGTAGCCTATACTTTTTAGTGTTAAAAGCATGTGCATAAATGTGAATGTTTAATCAAAAACTTTTTTATAGTTAGATAGTTTAGCCTAGTTAGTCTACAGTATAATGTAGCTTTCAAGAAAAACAGTGGTTGTCTGTGGTATCTTCTTGTTTTGATAGCTAACTAACTATCTGTGTGGGTGTGTAGGTTTGTTTCAGACTGGGTGTACAGTGGCGTCTTCCGTGACGTATATAAAGAGTTTATGATCGAGGTCAATGAGGATTATCTGACCTACAGAGGTGAGCTTCTCAGTCTCATGCTTTAATTTTGTTGAATGTTAAATCCATCTGTTTTCTGCTGCATTATTATGGATTTCTTGTATTATCTTGATTGTGTGCAGTTACGTCAGTGATAACGGCAAACCTGCCAACCTGTGCGCATTTTGCCTAGCGGATACGCATTTTGACCTCAAAGTACGCTGGTACGATTTGGCACTCTAAACTACGCAAAAAAACCTGGTGACGCCTCTGTCCACGTGCAGTATTCAAAACAAGCAACAGAAAAAGATGAAGAGGTCAACCAATCAGAGCGTTTTCTAGGTTTTGCTTTTAAATTTCCATGCGTTTTATTTCTCTCCAAGCTGGCTCTGTTTGTGTGTCTGTGAGTGCGCGCTGAGATGAGAAAACGCCTGCTTCTGAAAAAGCAACACACGCCGAGCATCTTCCCTTGTAATGACTAAACCTTTTGTCCAACAACAAAAAAGAACATTATAACATTCTTTTACTGCACAACATCAGACAAATATTTAAAATAATTTCCCTCTTGATCTGATGTGGCTTCTTATTACAGAATGACGCAGAAATAAATTCTACACTGGAATAACGGCTAAGTCGATTATCGGATTATAAATACCATTACATTATAAAATCTATATATAAATAACATTACTTAATTATTAAAATACTCGAGGTGGTTTTAAGAACACAGATAAACATTGTCGCAGTACAGTGTTTATTATCTTAATGTTCTTTTTGAATGTCATCATTCAAAGCGTTTCTGTCTTCTTTTATTCAGTTACAGCCACACTGATGGTACTCAACAAAAAAAATTCCGATTTTTAAAAATCTAATTTTTAAATCAATATGACATTTGTGACCCTGGAGCACAAAACCAGTCTTAAGTCGCTGGGGGATATTTGTAGCAATAGCCAAAAATACATTGTATGGGTCAAAATGATTGATTTTTCTTTTATGCCAAAAATCATTAGGCCATTAAGTAAAGATCATGTTCCATGAAGATATTTTGTACATTTCCTACTGTAAATATATCAAGTTTCCTACTGTAAATATATCAAAACTTAATTTTTGATTAGTAATATGCATTGCTAAGGACTTCATTTGGACAACTTTAAAGGCGAGTTTCTCAATATTTAGATTTTTTTGCACCCTCAGATTCCAGATTTTCAAATAGTTGTATCTCGGCCAAATGTTGTCCTCTCCTAACAAACCATACATCAATGGAAAGCTTATTTATTCAGCTTTCAGATGATGTCTAAATCTCGATTTCAGAAAAATTTACCCTTATGACTGGTTTTGTGGTCCAGGGTCACATTTATGCAAAACCCCTTTAAAAATGAATGAATCTGTTTCCTCAGATAAGAACTTTTGGACGCAGGGCTACACTCTGATTTCGTGTGATGCAGAGGATTGTGTGCCGGTGTTCCTCAAACACATCGCCAATGACGTCTACGTCTGCGGGAAAACAATCAACCTGCTGAAAATCTGCTGCCCACAGGTGCATATAATGCTTTATAATGCTTCAAATACACTGTTGCTCAAAAGCTTGAGGTCCGTAAGATTTTTTTTTTTTTTTCGTCTCTTATGCTGCATTAAATGCAAATAATTTGAAAATACATTGCATCTTAAATGCAAGGCTGCATTTATTTGATGAAAAATTCAATAAAAACAGTAATATTGTGTATTATTATTACAATTTTCTTGCCAATGGCGATTATATTGCCAAGGTGTGCGTAGAGGGTTGTATAGTGTTGAAAACATTTCTGCTGCTGAATATTTTGGTGGAAACCGTAATACATTTTTCTAGGATTCTTTGATTAATAGAAAAGTAGTACAGCATTTTTTTTTATATAAATCTTTTATAACATTATAAATGTCTTTACTGTCACTTTTGATCAATTTAATGTGTCCTTGCTGAAAGCATTAATTTCTTTAAAAAACTCCAAACTTTTGAACAGTATATGTGTATATATAATAAATAATAATAAATAAATAAAAATACGTTTTACTGGCGATAATTACAACATCGGAAGTTCCGTCTAACTCCATCTGTTCATTGAACAGCACTACATCTTCTGGTCGGATGTACCAGTGCCCAGGATCGCGGTGACATTTTCCCTGCAGGAAGTAGAGGAGATTGAGAGAGACTGTGCTGTGTATCGCGGACGAATGGAGACGATCGCTAGGCACAGCGCCATCAGCAGGGAGGAGCAGGTACTGCACCTGTCATCATGCTGATTGAATGATTTGTGGAGATGTTGATATGTTGTAAATGAATGATGAGGAATTTAGAATAGCTCATCCAGGTTAAATGTTTATATGTCTACAGTATGCTTGATGAATTCAGAGCCAATAATGGTGGAGAGCCAGTACTGTTGGCATGGCAACAGATGAGATTTTAAAAGCCGGTCCATTAACCCAGTTTCATCAGGACACTCTGACCTGGGATAAAATCTGTTTTATTGTTTTGCACTGAAGTCTGTCTTATTTAATTTTCCCCACTCTCTCTCTCTAACTTGTGTTTTGTCAGGCTATGCGGACTGAACAGGCCCGACAGGAGCTCATTAACCAGGTTAGAGTGTCAGCGGCCAAGACCCTGGAGAAAATCAGAGGTCAGAAATCTGTCCCTTCAAAACCCACGCACGCGCACACACACACACACACACACACACACACACACACACACACCTGATGCTGTTAGCAGCTTCTGTCTGGCTAAAATTAGTCTTGCGTAGCCAGACTTGTCTTTCATCATAGTTCCCTGTCCCAAATAGCACCCTTCTAAATTATAAAATGAGAAATGGGACATTCTGTGGGCCTGCAAGTTCTCGTTGAGTGACCCATTTGGGACAGAACCACATTGCTGATTATCCTGGTCAAAAGCCGTTCACTTAGACAGGAAGATCTGACTGATATGTAACAGGGTTTTTATTGTTAACTAACACTAAACCATAAAAAGTATTACTTGAAATAAAATAAACATTAACTGAAATAAAACATTAAATGTATTTTATTTCGTGCAGATGCCAAGGCAAAATGTTTTTTTTTTTTTTTTACATTTTTAACTAAAACTAAATATACTAAAACTAAAACCTAATAAAAACTATATAGACATGCTAGACAAAAAATAAAAATGATTACAAAAACACAATAAAATTACAACATTTATTTTAAAAAATGGCTAAAATACAAGTACTAAAATAAATCGAACTAAAACTAATATGTAATAAAAACTATACATAGTTAAAAAAAAAATAAATAAATAAAAATGACAGACTTATCAAATTACTCAAATTTCTTATGCGCATTTTAAGTACTAAAATAACTAAAATTAAATAATCTAAAACTAAAACTCTATAGACACTGAAAACAAATAAAAATGACAAAAAAATTGCTAAAATGATCAAATAACAAATAAAAGTACTGAAGAAAAACTCAAACGTAATACACTATATAAAGATGCTTTAAAAAAGGACAAAAAAACAAGAACTTTTTTAAATGACATATTTAGACATATTTAAAATAATAAAAATAATAAATAATAAAAATTACCCCCAAAAAAATCTAATTACAAAGTTACCACAAAATGTCAACTAGTTGCTAAGCAAAATGTTTCATTCTTGATTAATTTAGTTTAAATACTAAAATAACAAAAACTAACACTGATATGTGTAGTAAACAATGTTTTTTTTTTTTTTATGTAAGGAGGACACACAGCTGTTCTCCTCGCAGAGGTCAAGTATTAATTATCAGGACGACTAGCGAGAGAGAATTCCTCCCCACAGAGACAGATGAATGGGGATTTCAGCTGACGCCCCACTGTTCTCGCTCTCGCCCCCTGCAGGTCACCAGGTGTCGCAGCGTCTGGCAGAGGAGGCCCAGAAGAGAGAGCGATTTGAAGAGATGAAACAGCAGCTGGAGCTCGACCAGGAGGTGAGGAGCATATTAATAACCCTTCAGTAAAACCATCTTCAATGGTTCTAACTTGTATGGATGTGGTTTCAGTGGCGTAGTGCTGTGAGACGGAAGGAGCAGGAAGACGATTTCAGCTACGCTCGAGAGCTCAGAGACCGTGAGCAGAGGCTGCAGGCCCTCGAGGAGCAGCTGGAGCGCCGGGCACGGTGGGCGGCATGCAGTAACAATCAGAAAAAAGAGCGATTGAAGCTGAGGCTGTAGGGCAGCAGTGACCGCCCACAGGAAGTTTATTTCCCATTCATGCATTTGAGCAATTTATTCAGTAAAGCATTCTGAGCCGTGAACCAAAACAAACAGTTCTCAGATGAATCATAACATTAAAATGTTGGATTCAAACCAAAGAAGTATTTAAGAAAAAAGACTTTTTACTTTTTACTTTTTTGTACTTTTTTTGTTTATGAGGGAATGAACTACTCATCCTATAGGGCATTGCAAATGACATAATCAAATGAAAAACAGTGGTAAAATGTAAAACTATTGACTAAGCATAATTTGTTATGGTTGGCATTACACCTAAAATTTGGCAATTAATGACTTTTTTTTTTTTTTTTTAATGTAGTGGAAATTGCACTGACTTTTAGCTTCATATAGTGTCGTTTCACCCTCAGAGCTCATGGTAGGTCTGTCTTGAAAAGTTCATGTTATCAATAAAAATCTATTTCACTGTGAAAAGAATTAATAGGATTTTTTTGCACTGTTGCACTTTATAAAAGGACTCAAATATCCAGAGAGATCAAAGACATTTATTAAATGATGTATTTTCTGTGTGTGTTCAGTATGGATCTGATTACTCAGTACAGTCAGTTATCAGAAGCCGCTGCAAGACGAGAGCTCAGAGCCATGTGGAAGGTGCAGAGGATGAAACTCGACGAGCGCAGAGTGAACTTTCTGCAGCAAGAACAACAGAATGTACAGGTCTGATATCATGCTTCAGTTTTTTTTTTTTTTTATTGTTATTATTTGTCATTTTTTCAATAACTTATTTTATTACAATATATTTATAGATGTTATTTATTTTTAACATTTTTTCTTTTTTTGCATTTTAATAGAGATTTTTAGTACCTGTTTAGTATCTATCTATTACTTTGCTATTGTAATAGTGATATTATTATACATTTATTTTTTACAAAAATGTTTAATAACAATATAATTTAAATTATAGAAATAATACAACTATAATCTTACTTGTGTCATATGAAAGTCTCCCGTTCTCAGTTTATGAACCATCCTTTCTGAGTTCCTTAAACTTTTAACTGACTGATTACTTCAGCAGTTAGCCAAGGATATGTGTGCATTTGCCATTAAGGTACTATTTTGAAGTGATGGATAAGGGAAAATCTTTATGTCTGAGGTGCTATGATTTATGTTCAGGCTCTTCTGGAGAAGTTTCCTTTAGGTCAGGAGGGCCCCCCTCCAGGAATATCCCAAATGCTACAACCTGCACAACTACACGCTGAGGTCTGTGTGCCGTTCTTTAAATATACTCATCTATAGCATAATAAATTCAACCTGCTCCAATGCTGTTTTAATTGTTTTCATTTTACCTCTGCTCTCTGAGCAGCAGAATCTACGAGAACAGCAAACAGCAAATCCTCCTCTCACAGAATCCTTTGCTCCTCCCTGCTCTCCTGCCATTGGTGAAACTCAAGCTCTTAAATCAGAGAAAATCGACATAGCTGACTTCCTCCTGAAGCCTCCATACGTCCCTGATAGTGGTGCCGTGACCCAGGCCCTCCACAACATTGGATCCGACCTCCTGCAATCCCCTCAGAAACCCCACCCACAGCATCCACACCCATCGACCTACCACATATGCGTTGGTGAAAACGTTTCGGAATTCCTGGAGTCTGTCCCCGTTCCTAATATAAATGGACAGGCGTCCAAGTCCAGCTTCCTATTGGGTCAGTTCACTCCAGAGGTGCCATCAGGTCAGCCGAAGGCTAGTGTTCATGGACACCCTTCACAGAGCTCCGTGCAGCTGGGAGGCTCCACTGCCTCAGGGCGGAACAAGGGCCCAATACGCTCTGAGTCAAACACCCCTGCACAAACTACTCAAGCGCGAACATGTGAGGCAGAGAGTGATAGCCAGTGTACAGAAAAACAACCGACTGGAGATGAGACGGGAACACAGCCCTCGGCGGCCAGCACAGGTTCAGAGCCAAAGCAAGCCGCCCAGGAGCCAACAGAGGAAGCCAAGTCCTGTGAGAGTGTCAGCCAGCCCTCTCACTGTTCTCAGCCAGAGCAAGAACAATCTGTGTCTCTTCTCAGAGGCTTCCATGAGTCAGAGTCCGATTCTGATACGAGAAATAACAGCCATGATCCTGATCCAGCACTGATCTCATCTTTACCCTCTTCTGATGTCTGTGGCCACTCCTCCAATGCCCATATAAGGGTTTACAAACAAGTTTCCAAGCAGGTCACTCCTCTTGCCATATCTAACATCCATGGCCACGCCTCTGATGCCCATATAAGCATTGGCGAACATGTTTCCAAGGTAACCACTCCCATCCCCACACCTAACATCCATGGTCACGCCTCTGATGCCCATATAAGGGTTGGGGAGCATGTTTCAGAGGTAACCACTCCTCTTCCCACACCTAACACCCATGGCCACGCCTCTGATGCCCATATAAGGGTTGGGGAGTATGTTTCAGAGGTAACCACTCCTCTTCCCACACCTAACATCCATGGACACGCCTCTGATGCCCATATAAGGGTTGGCGAGCATGTTTCAGAGGTAACCAGTCCTCTTCCCACACCTAACATCAATGGCCACGCCTCTGATGACAATATAAGGGTTGGTGAGCATGTTTCAGAGGTAACCACTCCTCTTCCCACACCTAACATCCATGGCCACGCCTCTGATGCCTATATAATGGTTGGCGATCATGTTTCTAAGGTTATCACTCCTCTTCCCACGCCTAACATCCAAGGCCACTCCTCTGATGCCCATATAAGGGTTGGTGAACATATTTCTAAGGTTATCATTCCTCTTCCCATGCCTAACATCCAAGGCCTCGCCGCTGATGCCCATATAAGGGTTGGTGAACATGTTTCTGAGGTGACCACTCCTCTTCCAATGCCTAACATCCATGGCCACGCCTCTGACGCCCATATAAGGGTTGGTGAACATGTTTCTGAGGTGACCAATCCTCTTCCAACACCTAACATCCATGGCCACGCCTCTGACGCCCATATAAGGGTTGGTGAACATGTTTCTGAGGTGACCAATCCTCTTCCAACACCTAACATCCATGGCCACGCCTCTGACGCCCATATAAGGGTTGGTGAACATGTTTCTGAGGTGACCAATCCTCTTCCAACACCTAACATCCATGGCCACGCCTCTGACGCCCATATAAGGGTTGGTGAACATGTTTCTGAGGTGACCAATCCTCTTCCAACACCTAACATCCATGGCCACGCCTCTGACGCCCATATAAAGGTTGGTGAACATGTTTCTGAAGTGACCAATCCCGTCCACACCGCTAATATTCATGGCCACGCCTCTGACGCCCATATAAAGGTGGGTGAGTTTGTGTCGGATGTTGCCTCCTCTCTGCCACGTTGGAGCAAATATGGTCATTCCTCTGACAGCACCCTTAAAGTGGGTTGTGTGATGCCCGATGCTGCCCCATCACCCACCCCTCTACCTGGCAGCTCTTTTGGTCATACATCTGACTCCACATTGACAGTCGGGTGTGTTGTCTCAGGCGTAGATCCTCAACCCTCTCCGTTACCTGGCAGTGCGTATGGACATTCCTCACAGTCCACCTTGGGTATCGGGTGTGTGGTTCATAGGACTGAAACCACTCGGCCCAGCTCTCTTTACAGCGGTGCCCACGGGCATTCGTCAGACTCTGCTCTGGGTATGGGCTGCATGGTTGGCGGGGTGGTGCCAGGGAGTTTGTACGGTGACAGGCCACCATCCAAATCTGACAGAACATCAGAAGATGCAGAAAATCTAGCCAACCCAGACATCCAGGGTGAGAACGCTGCTAAAAAAAATATATATATATATATATATATATATTAGGTCTTTATGTTTTTTGTTGATGTCTGTTGGTCATACACAAAGTGAATCCACTGTGGTTAATGATTTCATATTGTTTGTATTTGTAATGTTGTAAAGCAGTGCCCCCTAGTGAGCTGTTCTCCCTGGATGAGGGACTGTCTGCCTGGGCTCTGGGACTGGGATTGTCCCCTAAAGAGAGTCCAGAGGATCGTTATCTTCTCAGCCTAGCCTTACAGTACCAAGTGGAGCAGTACCAGGACTCGTACGGCCTGATGAGTGAGTACCGGACCGTCTGCCTTCATCATGAACCACTAGAGCTTTCTTTCTTTATGTCAGAAATGGAGAGGTTTGTGTTGTCGTTCCTGCTCTAGCTGCGGCTCCAGACTCTGAGCTGCTACTGCAGGTGACGTGGGGTCCGAACGGCCTTCCTGTAGACCCGTCCCTGCACCGGGCCACCGACGTCACTGCTGTTCAGCTCAACGAGATGATGCCACTTCCTGTTCTCATGAAACACTCAGTTACAACACCACTGATTACACAGTATGTACATTTATTTTATGATTTATCCCATTCTTTATTTGAGCTTTGCAAATTCGCTTATTAAAATCTCATTTAGTGTAAATCATCCACCTAAATTTTATAAACACTTGTATGAGATTAATTTTTTATTTTTATTTATACCTTTGGCATGAAGGAGTCTTAGTTGGTTCAATGCAAAACAAACAGCATGATGAGTATAGTAAGATTCAAGAACAAATGACTTTTATGAGCCAGTTCTTTGAATTTTGAGAAAAGTTATTGGTCTGAATCAGGGTTATTGTAGTTAACTAAAACTGAAACTAAGCTTAAAACCATTTTTGTTACTTAAAATAAATGTTAACTTAAAATATTGAAAAAACTTATTTCAGCTAGATTGTATTTCTCATTTTCATTTAGTTTAACAATGTACTAAAGCTGAAATAAAAATGTAAAAAAAAATATATTATATAGACATATATTTTAAAAAAGTAGTAAAATAACAAAAACACAACAAAATTACTCAAACTTAAAAATGAAAATTAAAACAGAAAATCCCAAAATTAAAACTGATTCAAAATATTTATAAATAATAGTATTATATACTATTTATATCTATCTTTATACCTACATCTATCTATCTATATATCTATGTACAAATTTGTACATAAATATATAGTATTAAATTAATAGTTATTTTTAAGTGCCGTTATCAATGTATTCATTCAAAAAAAAAATATATATATATATATATATATAATATATATATAAAATCTATATATATAAATAATCAAAAATATGAATGAAAATCAAAACAATCTAATTGACAATATATATAACCATATATATAATCAATATATATAAATCATCAAAAATATAAATGAAAATCAAAAAAATCTAATTGACAAATAAATAAACATTTTGAAACAAATTTTTTAAGTCATGTTAAAAAAATGTGTTAAATGTAACGATAAATTTGATCATTTGGGTGATAATTTACTCAGGCCTGTTTACATTGCAACTGAAATATATTTTCAATTCAAATCGAAATCCAAATTGAATTGTGAAATCAGTTCCAATATCCAGCCCCTTATGTAAACTATAAATAACACAGAAATTCCTTTATACTACAAAAAAAACAATTTGTACATTTGAATCTCTCTCTCTCTCAGTGTGTCTATGGTAAATAAGGCCGTGGTGGATTATTTCTTCGTGGAGTTGGGTGTGGAGAAACACTTTGAGACACTCAGACATTTCCTGTTAATGGAGGATGGAGAGTTTGCCCTCTTTCTCAGCGATCAGCTCTTTGAGAAGGTCTGAACAGTTTTTCTGCAAAATCTGATTTAAAAATGACAAATGAAACATGTGAAAGATAACTAGATGCCTCTCGCTGAACTAACCATGCAGCATAATGAGGCCATGTGATGTATGTTGGAAATGCTTATCACTGTGTGTTGTGTTTAGCTGGGCAGTGGTCAGACGCCCGGTGAGCTGCTGACCCCGCTGGTGTTGAACTCCATTCTCAATAAGGCCTTACAGTACAGCGTTCACGGCGACAGCGAGCTGGCGGCTCACTTCACGTTTGCGCTGCGATACCTCCCTGAGATCTTCCATCCTCACGCACCAGACTCGCTGAACTGTCTCGAGCTCCGCTACAAGGTCAGAGACACCCACTGTGCTCATTTCTTCAGTTCCCGATGCAATATTTTCATAATCTCTCTCTCGTTCTGTCTGTAGGTGGACTGGCCGGTGAATATCGTCATCACAGACAGCTGTCTGAACAAATACAACAGACTCTTCTCTTTCCTGCTGCAGCTCAAACACATGGTGTGGTCCCTCCGAGACGTTCAGGTGTCCTGGAACGAGTTCACACACAAACTGAGCAGCGCCAACGACCTGGACGCCATTCACCGCACACACGCCGAATACCTCAACAGAGCCATCTTCAGGTGAGGACACAAACATGACATATTCACTGTTCATATACAGATATCTGGAGCAGGATATGAAACGATGGTTCTTTTTGGGTGAGATTTCTGCCCCGCTGTCTCTTTTCTGCCCCTCGTTGCACACCCAGTAAATGTATGAAACTCTGCGCACAGATGAGTACGTTTCATGTCCAGTTCAGTCTCTTCATTTCTCATTTGCTGGTTATGAAAAAAGGTACTGTTTTTAAATCTGTCACAATGGTTCGTATAGATCTGTTCCAAAAACCAAGTGAACTGCTTACATAGGCTTTAAGGCTTGTTCCAAACAGGAGGCAGCAGAATTATAAACTTAATATTTAGGGATATATAGAATTCATTTAGGACAAAATTTAAGGTGTCCTTCATGGGTAACACAATCCCAGAATGCATTGCGATGAGCAAGTGGGTGGGAAGATTGCATTTGCAACCAAGTTGGTGGGAAGATTTCAATGAATTGTGGAGTTTAAGTATGTTTTCACAAAACATTTTTATTAACATTAATTGTGGATTATTGTTAACATTTATATATTTGGGGGGAAAATCTAGCAAAAATAGTACTCTATCTATCTATCTATATATATATATATATATATATA